TGGGTCGAGTTCGCCGCGCAAGTTTGTCTGGGATCGTTACTCGGGACGAAGGGCTAACGCTCGAAACGTCAGCTTTTGTAATCATTACGGTGGCCAATTTACCATTTCAACTTTGTTGATATATCCAAATTATTTCATCAGGTTTAGGATGAGGACATTTCATGAAAAAAACTTCCAGGGACAATTTTCAAACGATTGATTGCCAGTGAAAATGCGGCACACTCGTTTAGGTGAGACTGGCAGGGAGAAAATACACCATGCCTCAGAAAATTATCTTATACTTTACCAATGGCATGCATGAGCTCATGTATTATGGTTCCCACAAATTCACATCCTTTCGCCAGCGAAAGAGCTTGCGCACCTTTAGAATGGTACCTCGCACCAACCATACTGGAGCACCTGATGGGATGGTCCACAGTAGCACAGGGTAAGGCGACTTACTTAGTGATCAGGATATATCAGATACAGTGAAATATATGAAGTTCATATATTTTCATACATTCATATATTTGATCAGGATATGTATAATCTATACATTTCTGCTTTCCTTTCTCCAGACTTTAGAGTAATTAAACGAATTGGTCATTTTCGTCTTTAAACGAAGCCGCTTATCCGCATGGTATAGCTTTTCTAAATTTCATGCTTTACAGTGCAGTATCTAGGTATCCGCTATTGTTATTCCCTCGTTGTCTTTTCGTGATCTGAGGTATATCTCTCCAATTATTTTGACGATATTCAAAGAGTGACGAGGGGTGTGCTTATCTGGGGCTCTCGACTGGATACTCTAGTCTTCTCGGATAGGGACGAACAAATGGAGGTCCCTTCTCCTGCAGGGTTAGGGGTAGGAGACGTTAATTTCCCACGCACGAGATTACTGTGCGATGGATATCCTCCCCTGGGGTGGTTACTGGGTGGGAATTGGTCCTGAAAAGCCCCAGGGGAGTGGTCAATCAACATAAGTTGCAGATAAAATTACTTACGAGTTGTCTTGTAGACCTACCCGTCATCATTACCGATTTTGATGTAGTTTCGCTGACTATAGTCATATGGAACAAATCTTAAACATGTATTATCGTGAAATTCTTTCATTGCTTTATGAAGATTTGGAAGTATGTGACCTGATGAATAAAGAAATAAGGTAGAAAGTTATCTGCATCTCTTAAATATTTTTCTTATTTATTTTTCTTTATCATACATAACTCATAAACATTTCTTCATCATGGTAGAAATAACGTCCTCAAAAACCTCTAACTGGACTTCATTCAACTTAAATTCCTTTTAACTTTAGAATCATCAAGATTCCCCGAAGTTGATGATTTCACGTTATCAACGGCTGAGGAAAATAAAAAATCATTGACAAGATTTGTTTCGAGCTACTTCTGCACCGAGTTAATTTGTATGGAACCAAAAGCTTGTTTTCAAATGAACTAGGGTTGGCTTTGGGTCGAACGGTGAGGGAAAAAATCGTAACGAAAAAAGATTTTGGGCTACCAAACTCTTTCTCTTAATAACTCGCACATACCCATTTCACTGGGGACATAATAAGGAATTTTCCTTGTAGCCCAAAGCCTCTTTTTCTCTCGTATTGCGTTCCTCTTGACCTTTCCCTGCTTAATATGAAGGATTTCTTCCAATTCGGGATCGAGCTGAATGTCGCCTTGATAAAGCTTAAGGTGTTTCTCTAGAAAAAGAATCGTTTACAAAAATGAATTGAATTTAATTGATCCTAAGACTTACATATATACGGAATAGCTTTCTGATTGTCACATTTAATGAGTCAATGGTCATTCAACACCCGACTGAGCCAAAGACTCAACAAGCCAGAGCCCGTTCCAGTTTCCATGCATTTGAGCGACCAAGATCATTACTACTCCCCTCGGAATGGATGAAATTGCATTTCATCACCAGAAATTTGTTTGTTTTGATAATCCTGGGTACTTCTTGACCTTCACAGAGGATTAACATCACATAGAACGTGTACGTGTACCCTGACTAAGTTATTTCGTGATGTACCTTCGTTGTTAATTTCAATTTCCTTGAAGACACTCTCTCGTTTCATCCTTGCTGCACGTCTTTTTAAGTGGGCCATGTTCACGGCGATGATGCGCCCATGCTCTGTCTCGTACTCTTAGAGGCAGAGACGTAATCAATCAATAGTTTCATCATAAATATTTATATCATGCTATTAGCAGAGATCCCAAGGCTAAACATTCATAATTTTGTGACCAAAAGCTGGATGAGTGATGGTGATATCGTGAAAGCTCTGTTACATGCGAGCGATGGACAATCCTCAGTCAAACACTGACAAAGGCGTGACGAGCTATGTCCTGAGCTATATTTTCACTTGCCACCTCCCTCGCTTTGATATTCAGAATCATGAAAGTGAAAGGAAAACATATTCCGACAACCTTCACTTTGATAGTCTATTGTTTGATCAGCTTTCTGTTTGACATTTCCTCTCACCTTGAGTGAAAATCTGTGATCACCTACGGTCTACTGTGTCAATTCTTTGACCCCAGTTTATAAACGGATTTTCTAACAAATCTTAATTCATCCGACATCTAACTGATCCAAATCCAGATGTTGTGATTTATAGAAATGCACTGTCTTAAAAATAACAACGCAGCTGCCAGCGATACCTCTTTTGTAAAATCACCTCAATGCCAATGGAAAGGTAACGCTATTTTAATACTGCAAAATATCTACTTGCAAAACATAAGCAACGACTTAATTAAAGCATAAAAATCAAATGTAGAACTTAGGTCTATGACTCTGTACAAACGGGGAAGTGACAGACGGCAGGAGATTTACATTGAAATGTTCCTAGCAGGAACAAGTAGTCGAAGTCTATATCTCAACTCCGCAGTACAGAGGAGCATTATGGAGCGTTAGGTACTTTTTCGCCGTAGTTCCGTATCGGTTATACTGCATTCACCGAGAAATATTTCTATTATAACATATTTCTATTATAACACTGGAAAGCTATTTCAAGTCCCAAACAGATCCAGATCAATTAGATATCGGGTAAATTAAGATGTGTAACAACAAACAAAAGTACAGAGCTATTTGCTTATGAATATGCACGCACTTGTAATGTTAAAAAATAAAAAAAAATAAAATAATAAAATAAACTGAAGGTTATTAGAGAATTATTCCTGTTGTACCTCTGTTCGCGATGTCACTGATATCTTCTTCCACAGGTTTATCATCCTGCTTCAACGGATCTACCATTGATCAGAATGTTTAATGCCATTGATACATGATTTTTATTGTTAAGATAAGCATTTCTTATATACTGACTTCATTATTTTCTTTTAATCCATAAAGTGATAAGTTTACATGGTAACAGTGTTTCATTGCCACGCCGCATGCAAAATTTACGAGATTTGTTATAAAATAGTTTCGCTTGTTTGCTTTTGCTTTTGTCAACATATCCTGACGTTGTCAAGTAAGACTAAGTGATATTTCAATTTATCAACATCATCTGCATTAGAAACTTGCCAAACAAATCAATTTAGCATGGAAGTGCCTAGCTAAAATGTACAATGAAATGAATGTCAATTATATTAAGAACATCTGATTGTGTACCTCTTTGCGATACTCAAAAACCCTGGGAAATACCCTGCTAAATTTGCGATTATTTTCACCATGCATTGCTTAGCGAGGTGATCCTTTTGAAACGACTAACTTTGCATGGCTTGTCTCGGTCTCTGAGATGGCAAGTTGTTAGTCATTTTTTATTTTTCAGCAACATGCTTGTAGACAAGAACATTCCCCGTCCTTGATTAAGATGCATTACGCAAGTACTGAATGCAAACCGCGTAATTGCGAGAATAAAAGTATACCACTGCAAAACAAACTTTAATACGATCAAGAGATCCAGGCCACTTACGCACAGGTCGTCCAGTTACCTATAAGAGTAATTTACCGTTGCAAACTTACCTTTGTCTCCATTTTCTTTCTTCAAGACAAACGAATCAGTGCAAGGGAAAATGAGCAGGAATACGATCGCTAACAGAGGTCTCAGGTCCATGTCATTCGTTTCTGTCGACTCAACGAAAAGTGTGACACGGTATCTCCTATTCTGTCTGTTAATAATGAGCCGTAATTAGCATAAAACTTAGGTAATATCTTCATTTGAAAGGAGAGCGTTGTAAACATAGCACCGTTTTATGTAGAGGGATTAACATTACAAAAGCTTATTTTTTTTTGACAAACGTCTTTTGTTTGCAAATGGTAACACTTATTCCTTATTAAGTTTACAAATGGCAAAAACTTTTTTTCAAATGGTTCTCATGATTACTTAATATATTTTCAAGATACACAAAAGCCCCCGCGTTTTTGGGCACACAAAAAAACTCAAATGAATTTTTTTCCCACTCTTCAAAGTTCCTTCTTGTGTAAATCAAGTCCTATCAAAAACTTATGTCTTCTTCCGCAAATCTCGGAGGTGAATATGTATGAAGTGTAAAGACTAACCTTCTTCAAAATGATTCATTTTATCAACTTTAACTTGTGGCTTTTTTTTTCTGATTTTGCTTTGTACAAACCTTTTTCTCTTACAAGGAGAGTCTGTAGATTCCCTTTTGGCTGCCTTTGCTTATGGGAGACCATCGCCTCACAACTGCCGCAATTTTTCGCTTTGATTTGAAGTAATAATCGGGAATAAATTATCTGACATGCGCAGTGACTCGTTTCTGGACAATTTTAGTTCCGGTAGCCGTAGCAGCGCCAGCAGTAGTGATTTGCTTAAACTCCCTAATACTGCCCGCTCTCGAAACCAATCAGATTGCACGATTCGTAGAAAACCGCCCGCTCAAGAACTGAGAAAAAAATAAATACATTTACTCTACACCTTCTGTATTGTGTGTCCAAGGTCCCTCAGCATAATTAAAAAAAAATTTTATTAGCTTTAAATCATTGATACATGAAAAAGGAAGATATGTTTGTTGACTTTGTCATAAGTCTCTCTTAATTCTCTAGTTTTTTAATATCTTTCTTGTAACAATAATCTTTGAGAATACCATTTAGTTGATTTTTAAGAAGAAGAAAACGTTGACACTTGTGACTTTGGGCCTCGATAAGTCTGATTTTCCGCGAAAGTTTTCTTAAAAAAATGTTAACAATCGATGGACCACCTGACGATTTCATTGTGAACTCTAAAGGAAAGCCATATCAAGGATTTCAAATACTCCGTCTACAGTATAGAATAGAAAAAAAATCCTGCGGCGGGGATGCTACATAATCATCTATGAGTATGAGAGCGATCTTCACTCTTTTCGTTTCTTCAGGCCTTATTTTCACTACTGCTTAAGCAGTGTTCATTACCGCAAAGATCGCTCTCATACTCACTTCTTTAACCGCAGCTCAAATATATGATTACATATATTCACAAACGTTGACAATCATTTATAATGTAAACATAAAAAAATACTGTGTGGGCTTTCTTCAAACGTGGAATTAACACCGTTTATATGGTTACATATTAAATCGCCTCTTTCGCAGCAAAAGTGAAACTAATGAAATACTTTTCAACAGTCGAAGAAAAATTTCGTATCTTCAAGCGGCCATGTAATATCCTATATTTATGTAATTAAAACATAATTGAATAATTTTAGGGAGCAGTAAACTTATTTTTCATACTGAAATGATTTACTCACCGGCTCTTCGGCATTTACTCAGAAGGCCAAACTGACTCAATGTTAAGGGATTTGCAGATCTTCTTTTTTCAATTTTTACTGATACAATTCTAGTATTTCGAGTACCTTTGATATATATGAACTCGTTATCTTTCCTTCAGAAAGCCTGCTTAAGTGGTACTTAACACAACAATAGCACCCTCCTATCTTTATTTTATTGCTTTGATAATTACTTAAAGTCGTTGTTTTCTAAGAGAGAGGGGGAGGGGGTTTAGTCAGGTGGGATAAATTTGAAGCAGGTGGTTTATAAACTTTAGCAATTTTAAAAACCTTAAGTGATCACTAGTCAAAGGAAGTTGTGAACCTAGGCGAATGTATAACCACTGTTCGCTGCCAAACGATCTGTTAGGTGCCAAATTCTTATCGCATGAAAGTTGATAAGGGCGAGACCCAAATACTGAATTGCTATAAGTGATGTGTATGATAATAATCGTCATCATCATCACCACAGTAACGATACTGATACCAGGAGTCTTTTGATAATTAAGAAATAATCAAGTAAAGGCAGTTGAGAGATTTGGTATTTTGGTAAAGTTTACATCGAAATTTTAGCGAAATGCATTGCTAAAGGAATAAGATAGGACTGAGGGAACGAAGGCTGGAAAATATCTCCCAAGGTTATGAAGTTTTAAAACAGTTCCTCTTCTAGGAAGGAAGACGACATGCTAAGTGTCTAACGTTAATTAAAATCGAGAAATGTCATGAATCAAAGCGGAAAACTGTTCATCCATCCAGAGAGGCTCGTCATCAAACAAAGAAGATTACGGTCTGGTAAGAAAGAAATATTTTAATGATAATGGTGGTTTTTGTTTCGGCCAAAGAGGTAAAATGCTTTAATACCATCTCAAGAGTTTTTCCCTGAACGTTTAGGTTCTTTTATTACTACATTTGAACGGCGGAAGCTGCTTCTTTAATATAGGTTTGTTTTAAAGCGAGCAATAAAAGATGAAACTGCCACTCAGACCTGTAGCAAGATTGTACAGCTGTAATAGGTCAGGTTTCTTTTTTTTTATGTCAATTTTCGGTTATCAAAATGCAATCTAGAAATGTTGAGTAATTATAACGTGAAACAATCTGTACCTTTTTATATCTACATATCCAATATTTGTGTTATGGCCATACAGAGTATGTTTAATTTTGGACTAACGCTGATTACACAGCTCTGAGAAAAACGGTTAGTATGTAATATATTTCGATTCGTTTTGATTGAAATTTAATAGCCGTTTTTTCTGTTGAACAAAAAACAATAAAAATCTTTAACATCCATGCATTCACAGGTGTACAGCTTTGTTTGTTCAAACTACCTATGAAAAAGTAAAAGAATAAAAGAATAGAGCTTGAGCTTTAAAAGCGAGACGGACTGCACAGGCTAAGCTGTGGGAAGAGATATACCTTGATACTGTGAAAAGATGTGGTTCATCACACCGTTCCTTGTTATCGTGACAGTTCTTGGAAATCCAGAAGGTTTGCTTTAAAGAAATAATGAACAGTTTGTAGTTTTCTTGTTATGCATTTCCTTTCTTGATAAAGAAAGCTACATGCATGGTATTCAACTCTGTTGCAAGTGCCTTACCTCATTTTTAGAACCAGACTGTTTTAACCAGTCTACCCCAATCTCTCTTTCTTGTTACACCAACGATGATGTAGCCATCGTTCTGTTCGGAAATCGGCTCATATGTTACTGCATGTATGTTCAAAGTGACAAAACGCAACTTAGCTGTATCAGATGCAAGATATTCACTCTTTCATTGAACGGGAGCAAATTAAAAACTCAACGTTGCAAAGGATCAAAAGCTTGTGAAAAAAAAAAAAAAAACACCCAACAAAGCTTGGATTTCTTTGTTATGTTTTCCGGTTGCAGCATTCATAGGTTTTTCTTGTCCCCTGTGATGATGAGTTCACTTCAACGGTGACAACAAGCAGACGAAATAAAAGCCAATAAGTAGACAGTTTTAACCTTAGTTTAGATCTGAAAGTATGCAGCGGTTATGTCGATGAGCTTAAAACGGAGACTTTCAACTAATTCTGAACTACACGAAAAAAGAACAAGTTTTCAACGAAGGCCAAAAAGGGTTCATATAATTTTCCCCTATAATCTTTTTTTTTTCACTTTTTTAATCTTATTTATTTATTTATTTTTTATTTTGTATTTGAATGAGATGTTTGAACAGGCTATAAACAGTTCCGCGCAGGCTTCTTTAAGTACAGCACTGTCGTATAAAGTTACCTTTTTCGCAATCAAAAATGTAAAGCACAGGTCACTCGGCTTTACATCAACTGCAGGGGAAGGGGTTACGTTGTATAATTATACTTTGCTTTTACCACTGGGAGTTGCTGGTTAATCAGCTTTGCATTGATTACGTCACCACCTTTTTTTTTCCAGAAAACATTGGCGTAAAAAATGCCAAATTGTTTGAAGGAGACATGATTTTAAACACCGCTCAGCGGTTGGCTGCCATGAAAGGATTGGATGTTGATAAACCAAGAGGATATGCGAGAGGTTCAGTCATGAACATGCAATGGCCCGGAGGGGTAATGATCTACGATATCGAACCGAAGATAGGTGAGGATAGGTGACAAATGGTATAAGCTCAGACTTAACAACTTACAAAATAAGGTCATCTATTTTGCTCTTATATTGCTCTTCTACTGATATACGAAATGACATCGAGTTACTCTTTCTTTACAGCTAGGGACACTAACATGATGTCCATTCTCAATAAAGCCATTGAACAATGGACCAGTAAAACTTGCATACGATTCCAAAAGCGCCAACGAGAGTATGGGTACGCCTATTTCCACATAGGCAGAGGGTAAGTGCGAAACTGATTCTCTCATTACACGTTAGGAGAATCCGATGACTTTCGACTTACAAGTTTAAACCTTGCAATGTTCTTTATCTCACAGTTGTTCTTCTGAGGTTGGTTATCAGAGGAGACTCCAGTACATTTCGCTTGGTAGGGGTTGTTGGTACGTGGGAACAGCAGCACACGAGATCGGTGGGTTTATCAAGCTTCCATTTTTTTTCCAGCTTGGTGTAGCCACTCAGATCAATAGTAGCATTCTTGGTCATCCGTTTGCGAACCTGTTTTTGAGCAGTTTTAAATGAACTTCAAAAAGGCATGGAGACGCACATCTGTTCAAGTTATCTCAGTTGAAAAAATTGTCTTATGATCAAAACGCTTAGGTCTTTCAACCCGCTTTGGAAACTCCACAGCCCCCCCAGACAGAGGGACCCAGCCCACGGGTTGAGTAGTGGCTAGGCTTAACTAGTAAGTATGGCTGCAAATCATGGGAAACAGCACATGAAAAAAAGGAGCAGGGTACTCATCCGTGAAAAGTTTTGAATAGTTTGACGGCTGCGAGGTTAGGCAGATCGGAAAAATAGCGACTTTTCAATTCTGACAGGTATAACGTATTATTTAGCCAATGTACGGATGCGAATCATAGACATTTGTGACAAGCTGTAGGCGCGGAAGAAAATTTGTTGGCGAACAATAAAAACAATGGAGTGTTTCTGTCACGGAACTATCGGTCTGATAGTTGCCCCTTGGAAATTTGATGTTCTTAAAACTAGCATATTTGCCCTCGAAGCTTCGCTTCTCGGGCAAATATTTGTTTTAAGAACGTCAAATTTCCGCCGGGCAACTATCAGCCGATAGTTCCTCGACAGAAACACTCTATTGTTTAAATA